ACTGCCACTATTTGTGCCTAATCATGTGACCACGCATGGCCCATGGCCACTAAAAGAGATCCTGTGTGGTTGGTGTCAGTCCAGTGATCTTCACCCATTTTCGTTCTTGGACTGTAAGAGCTCGATGCCACCTCTGTCACACATCTTGCCCTGAAGCAAACAGGGATTCACACTTCTTAGTAATATTGACGCCCAAGAAAATAAATAAATAAATAAAATAAAATAAAAAATAAATCCATTAATTCAGCCACGTGTTACACTTCCATTATCTGCAGTTTGCATAATATATATGTGATATTTCCAACCTTTTGACTTAAGGAATTATTAACTAATGAAAAGTAACTCACTTTATAATACAATGATGCTAGATAGAAGTATCTAATTTACAGTCATTCTAGTAATATATCAATATCTGTGGTATTGTGTAGCATGCAAAATCAAGATGCTGATTCACATTACAGTTGACTACGGCAAAGAGGCAGTATTCATATTTACACACTAGAGAAAGTAATTATTCACCTGTATTTTGCCATAAAATCAGGACATGGCTCATGTGTTTGCATAATGAAGCTCCACAACTGCAATATCTGGATTTTCAAGCATACTGATGACCAACTACAACTTTTAGATTTAGAAGTAATAGTCTGATAAAAACACCATCCCTTATTAATATTGGGTAAAAAAAAAAATGTCTAAACAAAATGTAATAAATGAGGATTTTTACTTAAAGAGCATTTGGGGGAAAGTTGAATCACTTGATGGCAGACTGATACATTCTTGTCAAAGCCACACAGTGTAACTGGGCTTTAACCCTGATTATATAAGACTGCATATTTCTTGAATTTCCCTCGGGATAAATGAAGTATCTATCTATAATCAGAAACAGAGATGGCATGCAGATTGTAAATCTGAATACTGCCTCCTTTGCTGGACAGGTAAGGATGGGCTTATCAACCATTGGCATTCACCTTGTTGCAACCGAATACGGATTGGATGTTCTAGGTTGAATCTCTTTTAGTCCTAAGGTGAACCACAGTACATCAGTATATGCACAATAACTACCTTCCTTTTTTTCACAGTTCACAGTGGAATCAAAGATGAATTCATGGGAGTAGAGGTGAGATATCATTAGGGAAGTCTATAAAGAGAGATAGATGTGGATTTATTTATAATTCTGTATTGCGTTTTAAATACTCAATCACACCACACAACATTCAAGTAAACTTTGTCACAGTAGCAAATATAAAGGACTCAAGAGTAAATCATAACAGTGAAACAGGCCTCATCTCTGTAATCTGCAACCCACCTTTCTGTATGGAGCCTCCAGCATGGCCTCTACGTCAAAATCATCAGCCATGATGATCCTGCAAAGAAAAGGAACAACAATGACCGTCTTTATATGCAAACGAGAAACTATTACTGTCACATTTAAGCAATAATCCGGATAACGTGATGTAATTATTAGTCATTTCTTTTCTTAGCTAAGCACACTGATACTTTCTGTCTCGGACTTTTGTCATGTGACTGCATACAGATTAAGGTTTGAGGATTTACGCGGGTTTCACCAAAAGAAATCTGCATTTGTGAAACAGCTTTTACTTGACCTGATAGCTGAAACCAGACATTTCGTTTACATGGCAAGTCCGAGAATGTCTAAGCCGAAACCACTGGCTGTTTATACGAACTGTGTGTGTGTGTGTAAACCCAGAAAATTACTGCTAAATTAACATTTACTAAAAAAAACAAAAAAAAAACAAGTTTGATAGCAAAAATAAGAGCGTTTCAAGTAGTTCGCCTAACTTCCTTAATATTTCCCCCGCAGCGGAACACATTTAACCTTGAGTGAAATACGTTTTAAACACAGCTAATACGACTAATCTCACCAATCTCATCGTTACAGACTCAACAGAGCCCAAAGGCCGACACATATTACCATAAGAGGTAACATAAAGGATAAACACGCGTTGCACTCGGAAGCACGGAGCTAACGCTAACTAGCCACCTCGGTCTCCGTCGTCTGAACGCCACTGAGCCCCTTTACTATTATTACTATTATTATGAATTCACCGCTGCGTTTCACCACACAGCTGGCGTGAATCTCAACAAACGCGTACACATGTGCATCGAGAATCACTTTTTAAACATCGTAAGCACCCCCCCTATATAAAAACAGCACTCCACATGTTTACGTGAGGGGAAAAAACAAGCGGTAAGCGAGCAGCGGAGAGCCAATATGGCAGCGGGGCGAGCGAGCTAGCTCCGTTAGCAAACACTGACGTTACCGTTTAAAATTGATGAAATGAGCTGCCAAAGTCAAAATATCACGGGAAATGCGCTGCTGAAGAGACTCGCCTCGACGCCTCCCTTCTCGGCAGATCACACAATGCTAAGATGAAATCACAATTGTCGAAGTTATGTAACCTTTTTTTTTTTTTTTCCGTCGCAGCGGGTCGTGGCCTGCTATCAAAATGCTCGCCTTCCTTCTGCTTCGTCTTCTTCCTCGACTCTGAGGTTTTTACGGCAGCGGCGATATTTGGTGTTTCCCTACTGCCACCTGCAGGAGATACTCGGTTCAATTCAACGCGGCATGAGAGATAGAGATAGCTGCTGTGGTTTGTTATTCGGAGTTTTTTGTTTTTTTTATTTCGTTTGTAATTTTTTTGTTTTCCATTCAGTTTTGTTTCAGGTTCCAGTTTATTTTTTATTGTTTAGTTTTTAGTCTAGTTTCTATCAGGGCTGCACAATTAATCAGAATCTGAATTGGTTTTTATTGCCAAGTGGGTTTTCACACACAAGGGATTTGCCTTGTTCTATTGGTGCATGACAGTAAACAAAAATATAAATAAAGATGAAATAGAGACAATAGAGAGAGGCAATATATAAAACATTTGAACTGAAATGAACATGGAGTCTTAATTCATAATGATGAACCAGAAGAAGACAGCTGTCCAAATCAACCAAATATTACAAAAACAAAAAGAGTTTTGGATCAGTGTAGACAAAAGGGTACGCCACGCTTCCTTAGAATATGATATAACCTTCATTCATCTTCACATGGGTAGTTTACATCTTCAGTATTACAGAAATTTGTCATGTGCTAATGTTTTTAATTAATGGCAAGAAAGGTTTCACAAGAAAATTAAAAACTGTCCCAATCACCCTTAATTCACCCAATATAAAAAGAGCCAATTTGTACAATATGATCATTATTTAAAAAAAAATTAGATAAAAAGATTTTAATTGTTTTGTTCATTGTGAAATTTAAATTTGTGATGCAAAAAGGATCATTCCCACGCTACTTGTGAATCATATCTAAATATCTGTGTACAGCCCTAGTTTTTATTTGTTTCAGTGTTGGTTAATACAAGAAAATGAAAGCTATTTGTCAGGGGCAACACTTAAGATGTTCAGAATAGAAAGGCCTTTTACAATAAAAACACTTGAGGGGGGGGCAGTTGACTCACAGTCATGATGAGTCTCAATAAACAGAAGCACTGATGCCTCCCCATGCTTGTAGGGTTGAGAAATTAAATTTGAGAAATTGACAAAGACTAAAAGTAAAGACATTTCCCCCTGGTGTATTTGTGATTATAGACTCAAGCTGTATACACAAGTATTTTTACTTCAGTTAACAGAAATGTTTTTTCACACCTAATTTTACTTTTTAGTTTAGTGTTAGTGAACAGATGTGTACATTGCCAAAACAATGAAATAATGAAATAAAAACAACAAACCTGACCACTCTCTTTTCTGAAACTGTAGTTACTTTAACATCATGCATTTTTAGTCAATTAATCAATTTGTAGATTTGCCGGGTACTATACTAATTTATGAGTAATATCTTCACAAAATAGTATATATGTATATATATACTATTATATACATTCCCATTTCTCTGCAATGAGTACTTTTGATGATTTGATACTTTTCTGATAATACCTTTGTAATTTTACTTAAGTAACACTTCAAATGTAAGACTTTTATTAGTAATAGAGTATTTTTACAGTGTGGTCAGTACTTCCTCCACCACTACCATACATTTAAATACTTATATATACTGTCAATGGTCCCTATATATCTCTTATAGGTCACACGGGATCTGTGGGCCAAAACAAAACAAAACAGGTGGGCCCTAACATAAAAGCACATCAGAAATTTAGAGAGGAAAATTGGCATTTACATATTGTCATCACCTTGTTGTTTGGATTTTCTGTATGATTTCCACTTCCGGTGTGTTGCTGAAACATAAGGTGACTAACAGCTTCTCTCACAGGAACAACCCTCCTCTTCTTCTCCTGTAAAACATCACTGAGGGCACAAACTCCCGTGGGACTTTGGAATATCGCTTTTCCACGCGAGAACTCAGTGAGAGGAGTTTGTGTCACGGCTCTGTGTCGCCATCTAGTGTTGTTTAGTGTTTGGGTTGTATTAAAAAGCTATTCACAGTACAACAGTGACAACAAAGTGATAAAACGAATAGACCCCCATCTTTTATTTCCTGTTATAGATTATGCTCATCATGTACCAGAACAACATCCTTTGACTGCAGTTTAAAATATCTGTTAGTTCCTCTTTAGGTGTCCTTATCTTACACATCGGTGGACTTTGGAATAGCGCCTTTCCACAATTTTACTGGTTACCACTTAATTTTGGGAGACTTGTTTTTAAATGCATGTACAGCATTTTAGAAACAGCTTTTAGTTTCATTAAATCATCGTACTCAGTTAAACAAATGCCACACCCTTTCTTTTGTGTACCTTTAGTTACTAAAGAAACTAGGAGATGATTAACTTTAAAGCACCATCAGACTGAAAGAACTCCCCCAACTCAGGATTTTATTATTTTATTCCATCACTTCAAGACTTCTTGCTTTTTTACAAGATGTTCTTTGTCCTTTTTTTCGATTGTATTTAACTTCATCTTTCATTACTGCTTTAGTTCCTATCTGTATTTTTTAATTAAATTTAAAATATTACATTTTATTTGATCTGACAGTTTATTCATTCATTTTATTGCTTTGCAGTTTAGTGTAGATGATGCTTGTTGCAGAGATTCAAGCCCTGTTTGCTTATGTGTGTTATTATGTGTAAATATTAGGTTTTCATTTTTATAAATTGTTGGACATTACATGCTTTCATGTCAGAAAACTCCCTCGAAAACAAGATGGTACATCTCAAGCTTTCATTGTTTGTTCTCCCTCTTCACAGCTTGATTTATTGACATAATTACTATAAGAAAAAATGGCACACAACTTAAAAAGAGTTTATTTCACATCCCAAACTTATGACAAATTGGCCAAGAGAGCAATAAGACTTAATTTACTTTTATGTTTGCATGAAAGACAATAAATAACACAATTACTGGTTGTATTAGATCGTTTTGGACAGTGTAACTGACAGTGTTTTTAATTATGAATCTAATAATAAACAATGTAATGGATATAAACATTGAATTAATAGTTAATAGGCATAGGCGTATTTACATTTTCTTCTTCAGTCACGTGCATTGACCACACTTGGCTGCTGCATGTCAGGCAGCAGAATCCTCTGTTGTAATTGTGTTATTGAGTTTAAGTGGTGAATCGTAGTCTGGAGGAACATCGAAAAACGGCTCGTCGTCAAAACAGAACTCATCGGATGGTGACGTGAGGTACGGCAGCTTCAACACAAAGCCTGTAAGGACGCCTCCCAGCGCTGACACTCCTATTGTGGAGAACACAGCTGCGACCTGGAACAGAGCCTGTTCCCGGGCAGTCCTCCCCAACCCTGGCTGTAAACCAGGGATCAACATCTGGAGCTCCTGCAGCTTAGGGTCTCCTTCCACTGGTGCTCTGTGGGCAAAGATCTCATACAAACTGGGGCCATAAACCTCCTCTTTAGCCATCAGTATAGCACATATCCCAGCAGCACAGGATATAAGTCCAGTTAGACCGTGCAAATTATGTATTCCACACTGATCCTGGATCCTGAGGCGCCGTGCCAGGAAAGGGCTCAAGTACTTGTAGCCCAACATACACGCAGTGCAGCCCATCATACCTAGAGCGTACGCAGCTGCAGGCGATATCATCATATCCACAGATGCCCCGACCGTCACGCCTCCAGCCAGGGTCACATTCTGAACGTCGGCCATGGTGAGCTTACCATTTTTGTTCAGCATGGCAGAGAGAGCGAAGGCTGTGAGCGTGGAGGCACTGAGGCCGATGAAGGTGTGGAGTATGGCTCTGTGCTGGTCGTCTCCTTTCAGGGTTAAAGCTGAGTTAAAGGAGGGCCAAAACACCCAGAGGAACAAGGTCCCCATCACAGAGAGGATGTCAGACTGGTAGCTGGTGTTCTCCTTTGCGTGACCTTCATTTAGGGAAGGCCTGTAGAGTACAAAAGTGACACCCAGGCCAAAATAACAGGCAAAGAGGTGAATGAGAATAGAGCCTCCTGCGTCGTTGATCTTCAGATATTTGAGCACGGCCCATTCTGTGACTGCAAACACAGGCACTTCCAGCAAAGCCATGACCAGCAGCTGCAGAGGACTTGTCTTGCCCAGCACTGCCCCGAAAGATATCAGCACCACAGCACAGGCAAACTCTGCATTTATGAGATTGATCACTCCAAGGTGAATCTTACCATCATGGTTGAACTGGAAGTACCCCTGCACCAAAATGGCCCACTGGATGGCAAAAGTAGCCGTGAGGAAGTTAAAAACCAACCCCCCAAAGCCATAGAGTCGAAAAAATGCCAGCAGGCACCCAAAGCCAAGGAATATCATGACCTGTATGTCGGTAAAAAAAGGGTAGTCCCTGTACACGGCATTGTCCATGGGGTTAGTCTTGTTGTTCTGAAATCTGGCGTCTGCATGCTCGTCGTAGGTGACAAAAGCAGCATACAAAACAACAATAATCACCTCTGTGACAAACACAAACCCAGGTAACCTCACTCGAAGGTTGGTCGACTGTGTCTTCATCCTGACAGATCTTTGGAGCGAATGGCAGTCATTTCTTTTGCAGCCTGCATTATCTCTGTCTAGATAAGATAAGTCAAATGGTCAAGCCTGCTGTCTCTCACACAAACACAAGCTTTATTCCCCTCACAGAGAAATACTGCTGCATTGGACTTTGGCCATTGTAATAAGACATATGTATTCTCATACATCAGCGTTTTTGCAGTTATCATATTGCAAAGCGTATACAGACCTGACATCAGAATAAATGTTTTTTAGATAGAGTGATAACATTATTAATGCATTTAGCACAAATGGGTGTAATCTAACAATAAAGATATGCATTATAAGCTTTTATTCTATACAGTAACACCATTCATGTTGCTATTAACTGTAATGCTTTTGTCATGCAGTGATTATTACAATTTTATAGATTTTGATCTGTCTTTTTTAAACCAGTTTTCTTTGGGAGTAGCTGTATTTGTGCCTTCAGTGGTAGGTGGTTCAGTGCCTTCAAGGTTGGTGGAAGAACCCAGATTCAGACTCGGAGACACAGGAGTAGGTAAATAAATTTTTTTTTTACTGAAGAATACTCAACAAACTACAAAAGAAATTTCAAGTTACAGAAAAGAAAAACTACTGAAACTAGGAACTAAAGGTCAACAGCGAGGAATGCTGCCATCACTTTATTATATAAACTCCTGATGACGATCCGCCACATGTGTGCTCTCAGCAGGAGTTCGCTGGTGACATTGCAAGCAGGAGTGCAACTCCCTCAATAGAAAGCGAGAGTCAAGAGAGAGAGAGAGGGGGAGAAAACCAAACACCAACAAGCACACAGCATTCCTACTAGATCAATAGATCACAATAGAAAATCAATAGAACACACACTCACTGTCCAGCTCACGCAGATGGGACCGTGACAATGATATTTCTCACTGCGAATCCGAGTAGGGAAAAGTGGAATGAAAATAAATGTACACAAAATTTTCTGATTGTAAACACTTTATGTGCTTTCTTTCTTCTGATGACCTTCTGACATTTCCTGTAGCGCCACCAGCAGGTCAAAAGTTTCACTTTTCAACATCTATTTGATGGTTTGACACAAAATGTCATACATTCATAATTCCCAGAGGAAGAATTATGATGACCATGGTGATTACTTAGCAGCAGCATCAGGTCAGAATTTTGATTAGTTGTTGTTTGACACTCCAGCTTGCGTTTAGTGCGTATCAGCTAATGTTAACATGCTAACACGTATAATTAGGATTGGTAAACATTATACATGCTGCACATTGGCATGTTAGCATTGTTATTGAGGACTTGTTATCATTTAGCTTAAAGCAGAGACGGGCAGTATTTTGATTAAATGTATTTGAAATATGTGTTTAGTTACTTTTAAGTATTTTCTATTTGTAACAAAATACTTAATATATATTTGTAATTTGTGTATCTGAAATACTTAAAATACATTATTTAATATGTCATTTTATTCTCAAATATTTGTATCCATAGATTTAAACTTTATAAAAAACTGTGCAACCATTAGCCTGATTACAGTCCTTTGATTAATGGAAGTGAATCATGTGACATGTCCTGTCAGGTCCAGCAATTACCGTATTTAATTTGTGTTCCTCGTGACCAGTAGCTTGAGGAAAGAAGCTGCTGCTGTGTTTGGTGCAAATCTCCAGGTATCAGGTAATCTAAATGTGACTGGGCAAGCTTACTGATTGAAAATACAATCAGTAAAACAGAAGGAAAGAGCAATTAGCAAACAAAGAACTGGCAAATATACTTACTAGCATGTATCTCAGAATTTGTAGCTTCCTGCCGGCCAAGATATCTCGAGAAAAAAATGACACTAGAACTGTCACTGTTGTATTAAAATTATTTTGATTTATTGCATTTTGTGCTGACATATAAAATGGCTTCTTTAAACCATTACTCGTACATAATTGCATAATACACGGTAGAACATAGAAGAAATCTTATGATTTTAAAAGACAATACAAACTGCCTATTTTATATCTATAAAACCTTTCTGTTTTAATACACATTACACGTGTTATCTCTAAGTCTAAAATCACAGACTATTTACAAATGTCCCATCTTCACTCCCTCTTGCTCTTCAATTACCATACAGGCACACACACACACACGCACACACACTCTGGTTGAGGGAGTTCAAAAATTGTGACTCTCAACTTCTGCAGACCAGTGACCGATATATATATCGACCTGTACAACTACACCATCTCATTATCAAATCAAAAGTTAATACAGTTTTTGTTGTTGCAAATGTTCTGCAGATACACATTTCAGAGTTATAAGGGAAACACTAAGGGCTGCACAGATAGTCACCAAAAATAAGACATATCAATATGTGTATGATGAGGTGAGGTTCTGTATGCTACAGCATGGAAAACAATACGTGTATACAATAAATCTAAAGGATACTTACAAGTCCTATGATTTCTTGGAAAACATATCTAATGCTAATTATTTTCTTTTTGCTAGAAATTGATGCTGACTTTCCTAAGTAAAATACTTTATGGCACCAATTAGGCCAGGGAAAAGGATAATAAAATCAACTACTACATACATGTTTGAACAAAATCTATATAAAAAAAAATATTAATACTAAATGCTTTGTTTCAATACAACTATGCACGTTCTGGGTAAGATAATGTACACTGGCCAAACTCTTACTGGTCATATCCTGTAAAATGTTCGCAGAATCAGTGTGATGTCTACAAAACAGCACAAGTGCATGAATTAATATATGTTCAAAAATTACCAAACCACACACAAATAGAAACTAAACATTCATTGTATACACACTCACACAAAAAACAATGTCTGAGAGGTACTCTGCAGGATTACATGACTTAATGCATAAATCATGCTAAAGCGGCTGAATACGCACCTTCCGAGATACCACTAAAATTCTCTCATTTGTAGGTATCTGTGTCTAATGTTTGTCAACATTACTGATAATTCCTACACATTTTCATTGGTGTGCATTAGTAGGCCTATAGCAGCAAATTAACATTTTAAGCAGTCTGACATTTTGGGAAATATGCTTAATCGCTTTCTTTCCGTGAGTTAGACGAGATCATTGAAACCACTTTCATGTTTGTACAAAAAATATGAAACTACAGCCAGCAGCTCGTTAGCTTAGCATAGCACAAAGACTGGAAACAGGGGGAAACAGCTAGCCTGGTTCTGTTTAAATTGATAACAACCCTACTAACACCTCTAAAGCTCACACATTACCATGTTATATGTTGTTTTTTTAATCTGTACAAAAAGCAAACGTTTTAATCAGTGAGATGTTGCGGTGCTGCAAGGCGGATTGTGTTATCTTTGGAGTCATGCTAACTGTTTCCAGTCTTTATGCTAAGCTAACTGTCACATGGTTGAGAGAGATGTCATCAATCTTCTCTGGGCAAGAACTCAAACAAGCATATATCCCAAAATGTCAGACTACCCTTTTAATACCAAGTGCTCACCATGCTTAAAATACAGTATATTTCAAATATTTTAAATAAATTACTTTTACCTTTCTAAACCTCACCATTAAAAAATAAATTCTCTAAAATAAAATGTATGATATATTGTCAGTGTGTATCTATGAACACTGACTTGTGTCGTAAGATATCTGTTTTACTCACTTAATAAGTAATAATGTAATTCATATTTCCACAGAACTCCCAGATGCCTCATCTGAAAACTGTTTATATTTTACATTTAAATTCCAGTTAAAATGTCACATTTATTACTTTTTTCTGTACTTGATTCTAAAGCTGGTATCAAAACATTATTACAATATATATTGGCACATTTTGTTTGTAAGTAATTAGGAAGGAGGAGGGTTTATTAATTAAAGAGTTAGAATAATTTTGTATACTCTTGTATGTACAGTGTCTTTGA